TTATTTTTTTAAATATTTTTAAGTACTGAACCTATTCTTAAAATGATTCTCACACATTCATATATTCAGTATTATATATAACTTCACTAAATGTTCATTAACAGAAGATTTGCATTTCATATCTTAACCTCATAATGATTATTCTGTTCCGCATAAAATTTAAACAATAAATAAAATATGTATTTATCATTACCTGTGACAGAATATAAAAGAACAACATTTTCGAAATAATGATTGAGTTTTAAATGTGATTCTCTGATATGCTGCATTCGCCAATCATCTTCATCGTTCTCATCGTTATGAATAAAAACATATGTCCATCCTTATATGTTCCCTATGTTCAATAATAATTTAAATAGATATATGATAGAATATAAATAAATTATTGCAGTCTCTATATTCCATTGAGAAGAAACGATATGAATTTTGAATTAATCATTAATTCAAATCTCGACAAACGAGACGAATTTTTTTTTCAATTTTATGATATACGTACCAAAATAATCTTGCTCAATGGTTTAATCCTCATTTGCATCCATAGCTCAATTGTGTCTTCAAGCTGCTTATGAAAAATTATTATTATTTGCATTATTTAATTTGCAATATTTTTATGTACATTTAAGAACATTGCAGTTGTATGTATATACGTCTCTCTTAAATGATATTTTATGTTGGCTATTCTTCTCATGTTTCTAGTTTAATATCCTATATAAAATAAAATGTATTTTATAGTTCTATAATATATAATTTTAATAACAAAGGACTGTTCAGCAATTGAAAAAGCTATGGGCAAATCTGAAGCAATGTCAAAGAGAAGCACAACAAAAGAGAAACAATCGGTCATGGCAACTGGTGGAGGTCTACAAGAGGCAACAGTAGATATCGATCCTGACATTGCCAGAATAGCACCTCATCTGATGAAGACCGCGCCAGTATTATTTACATCTAATATGTCGGAAAAAGAAGTTAATGGTATATATACAAATAATTGAATTAATTGTGAGAATTTTAGAGGAAGTATAATTTCCATTATATTTTTTAATCCTTACATTGCACAGGCCGCTCGTATATCTTTACAATATTTTAATTGTATGCAGTTAAACTCTTTTAAATATTGTTTTTTTATATTGACTTTTTCTTCCTCATGATTTAATTCAATGTCTGCTAATTTTGTTGTTTTTGGTTCATAACTTATTTTATCTATTCTACTTGTACCTTTTCTTTTATATTTGAAAATTCAAACGTATTTTTTTACTTTCTTTTTATAATTGTTCAAGAGCGACCCGAAAATTAGAGCGCGACGAAACGCAAGGATTTGCAGAACGACTTGGCGTCATAAAAAAGCACTCACGAATTCTAAGTTTTTGTCTTTAATGATTAAATAAACAATAATGTCAATTCACGTAAATAACGAAACAGTTTTACACAGTAATAAACACGATGCACGAATAATTATAAAAGTCTCCGAAAAGTCAGAAAAAGAGATTGTCCAGAAACGAGCAGTTGTCTTAAATGCGGTGTATCACAAAGAAAAGCGGTTATCAAAAGAATTGCGGTTATCAAAAGCGGTAAATCGTATGCGGTTACTCTACGTGTTTTCAGCGAGTGTCGGGCGCTCCTCATGAGCGGGCCCTTTTATAGCGGTTCTTTATTCTCTCGCTGCCAATAAGTTTGAACCTCCGAGTTCGGTTCGAAAAATCAACGCGGCGCCAAACTTCATTGGCCGCCACTTGAAATATCGGCGCGAGATGAGACTTAGCGCGAATAATAGGCCGGTGGCCCGTACGTCACGGCCTTGCGCGTGCCGGCTGCCGTTTATCGCGCGGCCAACCGACAAAGTTGTTTTCGCGTTTTATTATTGTACTTGTTTGTGACATGGGCTTCGTTGACACCAAAAAACCTCGAATAATAATAACGATAACAATTTGGCTGTTTCTTTGAGTTGTTTTTCGATTTTAATCGCGATGAAATAACAATGCGAAGCCCATGTTGCAAAGATGTAATTAAATTACATGTATTTTAATACGATCTCAAACACATATTTAGTATTTACCTTTTTTCCTTTGGTATATTTCAATGCAAAACAGACAGAAAGTTATACTCTGCTAACATTAGTTAATAATTAATAAAATTTTTAATATAACCTCTCCACGGTGCGTCCACGCGAGCAATGCAATTGTGTGTGTACGTATACAGACATACACCTATGCATCGAGACTGAGAATTCATTCCTCAGCGTTGGTAACCCTGAAACCTGAGTTTCACATTTTCACCGCGCGAGGTCTCCAATATCAATTCGGATGTGGCGTTCCTGCGGCTGAATTCAAAATCATTTTTGTTACCAACTTCATGAAATATATTTGTAACCATTTTCACACATTTCATTTATTGATTTAACACTTTACATAACAACATATTAAACATACGACAAATTATGTAACATTCATTCGTTCGTTCATTGACCATCAATCTGTACACATCTTACTCGTGAATTAAATATTTTATTACTAAACAGTAAAGTCTAGTGTTTTAACTATATCGCTACCACATATCTTTCGGAAGTGGAGCCCCCCCCCGTAGGGGGGGGGGCGGAACCCATTGTGTCTACGCATATACTTTACAACGCGAAGCGAAGTCCACTCCACAATTGTTGTGTGGATGGAAAATTATATACCAATCAAACAATGTACTCAGCGTCAATATTGCATGCATAAAATTACTATGTTTAATCAAGAATATATAAAAAATGAAACGAGAGCGATAATACCCTCACCTGTATAATATATAGGTAAATATAGCGAAAAGGGGACCCAGCCTCAATGACCTTGATCTTGACATATGTTGTCAAGCACATAATTCTGAGTAACTTTTTCTTCTAATTTAATCGTCGCTCGTTGCTTATTAAAAAGTTATTAACAAAAAAAGTTTGAAATATACCAAAGTACACGCGTGGACAGGAAGCATTATTACGCGCGCACACACCCACACACACACA